GGTGCTGAATTAATTGATTCCGTCCTTGATGTCGTCCGTAAGGAGGCTGAAGGTTGCGATTGCTTGCAGGGTTTCCAAATCTGCCATTCTATGGGTGGTGGTACCGGATCTGGTATGGGAACTCTCTTGATCTCCAAGATTCGTGAAGAGTACCCTGATCGGATCATGGAGACATTCTCCGTGTTCCCCTCCCCTAAAGTGTCCGACACTGTCGTGGAGCCTTACAATGCTACCTTGTCAGTACATCAGCTTGTTGAGAACGCTGATGAGGTCATGGTACTCGACAACGAGGCCCTCTATGACATTTGCTTCAGGACTTTGAAACTCACAACGCCTACTTACGGTGACCTCAACCATTTGGTATCTGCTGCTATGTCTGGTGTCACTACTTGCTTGCGATTCCCCGGTCAGCTCAACGCTGATCTCCGTAAGCTTGCGGTCAACATGATCCCATTCCCCCGATTACACTTCTTTATGACGGGCTTCGCCCCCCTCACCTCTCGCGGCTCTCAGCAATATCGCGCCCTGACCGTGCCCGAATTGACTCAGCAGATGTTTGATGCTAAGAACATGATGTGTGCATCCGATCCTAGACATGGACGATATCTGACAGCAACCGCTCTCTTCCGTGGCCGAATGTCGACTAAAGAGGTCGACGAGCAAATGCTGAATGTCCAGAACAAGAACTCAAGCTACTTTGTCGAGTGGATCCCCAACAACATCAAGAGTGGTGTCTGCGATATCCCACCCAAGGGTCTCAAGATGGCTGTGACCTTCTTGGGTAACTCCACTGCCATCCAGGAGATGTTCAAGCGGGTGGCTGAACAATTCACTGCAATGTTCCGAAGGAAGGCTTTCCTCCACTGGTACACTGGTGAGGGCATGGATGAGATGGAATTCACCGAGGCCGAATCCAACATGAACGATTTGGTTTCTGAGTATCAACAATACCAGGATGCTACCGCTGAGGAGGAAGGTGAATTTGATGAGGAGGAAGGCGAGTATGACATGGAACCTATGTAATTACCTTCCATTATGCTTTCCATCATTCTGATCCTGTGGTTGTACCATTGTAGACGTAAGCGCTGGTGCCTTGACTAGTTCTAGCGCTTCCAGGGTCTACAGGGTTGGACGTGTCAGTTATAAGTCGTATTAGTATGGAGTCAATCTCTTTGCTTCTCCGCGATACTTCTGTCACTTCAGCTGGTACATCAGCTGTGT